GAGGTACTAACAATAGAACCTGTGTACTGTGAACACCTGGAGTCACAAATATATGTTCAAGGTGGGTAGGTGTTACTACAGAGAGGGTAATCTATACAGAAGTCAGTAGAATATGTAGAGGAAGGATGTCCACTTGAGACGGGTTCACTAGAGAAAGGTATTCAGTAAGACAGATTTTACGGTAAAATAAGGAAAGAATGAATTGTTGATATACTTATCTTTCCAGGGCCAAAATCTATTTTTGACTAAACATTTTCATATACCTCCTCCCCAAAAGATATTAACTAATCCACACTTCCTCAACTATTGGACACCATTCCCAAAACAATAATTGTTTTTCTTTCAAGGTTAAAACAAATGACTAATACAATAATATCTCCATTTGTAGTAAACTTGTCACTGAGTAAAAGTGTTCACATTGAGAGGTGTTCATATATGGAAGGTATGAATACATGGCGACTCAAACTACTTACTAAATCATACTTCTCCAATTATACTTATTCAAAAATATCATCAAATTATGGACACAATTCTGAATAAATAACATGATTAAAACAATTATTAGGTGTAAATCATAGCATATACGTAGTTTACAAGGATGGACTTTATTGATACATTAACACCTTTGCATTGTATGGGCGGCATATTTCCCATGCTACTTAAAAATATCAAGCTATTCAGAGTAACATTTATATTACCTTAACAACATGACCTTCTTTGTTGAAAAACACCAGCTCTGGTTCTTTGTGCATAACTTCATGAAACTTAACATTATGGCTTGATCAAGTGAAAGGAAAGTAACATTATTGTTGTTCAAATTATTTAATATTTCAAATACTTTTAATTATTTGAATTTCTTTAACATTTCAAATACTTTGAATTTTAAACATGAACTTGTATACCCTGAATGAATAGAAAACATTTGAAAAGATTTTATTAAAAGAAAATACAGAATAAAGGCTAATAGGTGTAGACCATGGATGTAAATGGTTATTTACTGATTTGTTGTTTGCTATTTAAAGGATACTACATAGGGAGGTCATCCTCAAGGAAGTCCTTCACCTCTGGGTACCTGTTTAATGTTCATTTAGTACAGCTCTGGAATAAAAAACCAGCAATCTATTGAAATTGATTTAATATCCATGGAAATACATGTATTAATCTATAGTTTTAACCACTAATTTTCAAGTTTAAACTTTACAAATTGTATTTATTGTGATAAAATAAAGTGCTGTAAATCAAAGCATTTGCTTAAATCATTTATCAAGAGCATGCAGTTAAGTGAACTGACCTTCAGATCGGCCTTTATTAACCATAACCTTGAATATATTTGTGATTGCAACCGTATTTGTTGAAATAAATCCCCGCCATCTAGTCATTGTCTTAATTTGTTTCATATAGGCCTATTTTTTATTATTAGTTATGAAGCAAATGGCATATAGTAAAATATTGACTTTGTCGAAAAAATATATTGGCAATTAATATTCAAAAGAGCAAGTTCGAGTTGATGATTTTCCATCTTGATGATAGAAATGGTAGGATACAGCCTTTTGAATTGACAATATCGGATCTTTTCACTGATTTCAAACCAAATCCATGAGTGATTTGTTACACATAAGGTCAAAACATGAAATAAGGCTACTTGATATGAATAAAACAAAATAAAATAAATAAAAAATATAGTAAACTATTTCGGTAAAAATACTTTGCAATCATATATTGGTCACTTTTATCGTTTCGGCTTTATCATGTACAGTCAATTTTACATGGACCTTTGCTGATATTATTTGTATTAAAATAGTACTTTGAGCAATATAAACGTTATATCATATACAATGGCATTACCGCAACCATAGCACCAACGACATCACGGTCTCTCTTCCTTGCTCCATCGGCGTTATGAATAAGCGTTCCTATTAGCACAATCCCAACCAACAGGCTGGAAGGGCGCATCATTTTTGCAAGTGGATTTCTTTCTTCCCTGATTTCTTTGTTGAATTGTAAAACAGTGAGTGTTCTAATGAGTCTAAGCTCAAATTAATTGTGTAAAAGTGTACATTTTCACCCTTGAGCAATAGGTAAACGTTATTTTGATTGACATTTACGACAACGGTAGACATCTCTTACCGAGTACCGCAAAACATACAACAATATAGCAACTCGATGCTTGCACAATTCATTCTAATGTCATGCTTTGTGAAGGGAGGCTGCAGCCAGTTTGCATTGTATCTTTACTGAACTCATTGAATTACTTTGAAATACATAATGTATAACAAGATGATGCCAGACCCTATTTGCAAAATATACCCCAAAGTTAACGTTTTAAGATACAATATAACTAAGTTTACACATTAATATTCTTCAATTCACTTGGAATTTTGTAATCATTGCAATTGAAGTGTTATCTGAAGGTTCAGCATCATAGGCTAATGTTACGTCCTTTAAAAGGGTTGCTCCAGCAACTCGGGGGTAGGGATGGGCTTTGCAGGTACCAATTGTTCTAATCATGAAAAGCTCTAAAGTGTTATTCTATTTATCTTTCTTTCTTTGAATGATCAAAATGTTTGGGGAATTGTTTACTTTTTTCAGCACAATGTTCACCAAGCACAAATAATGACATTTAGCATTATGATGTCATTTCGCCACAGTTCAATAGTCACAAAGGAGTGGTATCGATTTGGAGAACTGAATTCAACAATGTTTTTCTCTAAACCAATCATTGAAAACATTCTGTAAAAAACACGGTATTTTATGTTGACTGATTGACAACAATTTAATGCGAAAATTATTTAGAAATATTCTATATAACTGTTTTTGTTAACATTTTTTGTTTTTTCAGTGCAATTGTTTTGCTCCTTTCTACCAATTCTTCAGAATGAAATAAAATGTCTTTCCGAACCTTGTTGGAACAAAATAGCATATACAACATGTTTTAAGACCTCTCAATGTTATAGTTATGCAAAGGAATTTTTGGTTGGTTTTAAAAAAGTATTATTAATATTGAGAGACCTAAACATGTTGTGTTTATGTCGTTTTGTTCCAATGAGGTTCGGAAAGACGTTTCATTTCACTCTGGAAACATGATACCAAGAGCAAAACAAGTGTTTGATGTGTTTTCTAAAACAATATAGATGAAACTATACATATATTTTTCAAATTATATTGTTACCATTCAAAAGATGACCATTAAATTGACAATGTGTAAAAACCTGAGACACACTTCACTTCATTTGGACTCACAGCCATACAAACTCACGCCACCGTGAAAAAAGTATATAAGGAATATACAGGGTGTTCAGGAAATAAAGATAATAAAGTCATAACTTTTTTATTAATTCATGGATTGCATTGAAAATTTCAGAGATTATAGTTTTAACATATTTTAACTTATTCTTGGAGTTTCAGCTTCAGGCGATTTGATTGGTTGATTCTGTGGTTGTCATAGCAACGCGAGTACCGCTAAGGCGGGGCAAGTGGAATAACTACAGTATATTTGCATGTTTTAAATGTTTTACTGAAAAAGAGATTATATTATGTTGATGACTTAAGTTGGATGCTTAAGGATATACCAGAGTTACCCTTACGACAATGGTGACACAAACTCTCTGCCTCTTGAACCTTCTTCAAATACTTAACAGAATTCTTCGTGACTCATTTCCTGAAGTCTGTTTAACACATGTGAACGTATGGCATGAGTATTCTCAAATGCATTGTAAAGAAGTATAAACCATTTGGCACTAGGTTGGGTGAATAAGGTGGATGCTTGAGTTGCTCTAATCTCAGCTGCTCAATTTTTTAGTGATTATGGCAGCAGTATGGGAGGGAGAATTGTCCAAGTGGAAGAGAAATTGCATCCTGTGTCACTTTCTCTGTAATGCCTGCATTAGTCATGAAAATCCCATTCAGGAATATCATAGCATTTATTTGACTTTTATATTATAAAACAAAACAATAGGAGAATTCTATCATGGATATGCACCAAGAAAGCTTTAAATATGGAGTCAAAATCGGTTTGTCATACTAAATATTACACAGAAACTACTGCAGTTATTCCATGTGCCCCGCCTAAGCGCTACTCGCGTTGCTATGCCAACCACAGAAATTACATATCAAATCGCTTGAAGCTGAAACTCCAAAAGTAAGTTAAAATATGTTAAAACTATAATCCCTGCAAATTTTATTGAAATCCATGAATAAATAAAAAAAAGTTATGCCATTATTATCTTTATTTCCTGAACACCCTGTACACCAGATAGAACTACAATTATGAGGTGGCAGAAGAGATTTAACTATGATGACTGGACCCTGCATGGCAACTCTGAACCTAGTCTGAAACACGACGAATTCAGAGTACAAGAGAACTGGGGGGGGGGAAAGTGTATAAAAATGTGTTACTTACATTGGTCAATATTTTGACAAAATGTGAAATGGGGCACTTTGTATACATAAATTAAATGAAGGATGTGCTCCGAGTAATTTTTAGTAACTTGAAATACATTTTGAGCATTCTTATTTTAGCTGAAATGGTATTTGTTCATTTTGTTGCTTAATTATTTCATATTTTAAGTTTTTTATTCGTTTTGACGTGACAAAAAGGTCTGACCCACCCTACCCAAACTCATAAACTTGATTTTATTATAACTTCCACATAGTATTATCAATTGAAATGAAAATCTGCAGAAGAATCAAAATATGTTCAAGGATTGTTCACTGAAAATTTCATGGAAAAAATATCAAGTATTCTGGGACAACCCTCGTATTAAGTGATTTGGGATCAGAACATCAGCTAGAGTAAGCCACGGAATGTACAACTACGTACATGAGTTGAAATTATTGTTTTGACTTGAGTATCACTGTGCATTAGTCCACAAAAACACAAACATATCTGTTATCTCTTATGCCCTCTACACGAACGTATTCTCTTTTTCATGCAATTTCGTTCTTGTTTATTCAAAACAAACAGAGTCTACATTAATGATTTATCATCTTCGTACAACACTCACTGCAATGTGAACTTTAGATCGTACATTTGTGGTAGTACACCTTAACAAACCAACAAAACCATTACCGTTTCACTCAAATTCACTATGGCTGCTGCCTTGACTGGTATGCTGGTTTCAGAGAAAGATATTAAAACGTAAGTATGTCACTGGGAATTAGGACCTAAACTAAACTACATTGATCGATACTTTTCAGGTTTACGACTCTGCGACACCCTAGAATCCTTTACTTATTACTCTAGATTTCAGGATGACGGTGTGGTTGTAGTGAGACAGGTGGTATCCCCAGAATGGGTGGACAAACTCCGAGATGCATTCGACTGGGCCATGAACAACCCTTCCCCCTTAAGTGAAGAGCATGTTGGAGAGGGAGAGCCAGGTAAGACACTTGTTTCTAACACTTTATAACTTTAGTTTTAAGTATAAAGTGGTTCCCATGGATATAGCCTATAAGCACAAATGCCAAAGGGAAGGGTGACTAAAAACTTTAAAGAATGCAATTTTTGGAATTTTTGGTGGAATGTTTTTGAATTTTGCAACTCCCAGCACATCTTTTATATCAAGCCAGGCTACACCCTTATTAATTTGAGATTTTTTGTTTTGAAAGATATATCCCGAGTGCATGTATTGACTCGGGTCGGGTGTACATTCCCTTTCGTTTCAACAACATACAACAACCGTGTTACTTTAAACTATATAAGTTTTCTGAATTATGAATATATTTCAGGAAGATTCTTCGATGACCAGTTCCTATGGAAACGAAACGACTCGGTCAAGGACTTTGTTTTCAATGGACCATTGGCAAAAGCTGCAGCCACTGTAATGTCATCAGAAAAGGTATTTACACGTAATTTATTAAACCCACAGGAGGAGACAAGAAAAATAAACAAGGCATTAACATGCAAAATGTCACCACATGCCACTTGTTACAAACCCCAAACACCCAACACCAACCGTCGAACATCGTCCTGATGGTGACTGACAAACACGAATGAACACTAGAATTGTAATATGGTTAGTGTTGCAATTGTCACGTTTACAATAGCAACACCTTTGTTTGTTTATGATTTTACTCAGATTGCTCTGAATCATTTCCAGGTGAATGTCTTCTATGATCATGTTCTCGTTAAGGAACCGAACACGAAGAGAATTACACCGTGGCACAATGACATGTCTTACTGGCCGATAAAGGGTTCTCAGGTTAGTCTCTGCCATCCTTGGCCCAAGAGTAATTCAATGAATTACATGAGCTGCTATGAAAGCAGTGAAGGAGCAATCTTGAAGGATGAGTCATTGTTGTCATCCTCCATAGTTTTCGTTATATCAGTTTTTTGGTTTACCTCCTTTCATAGATTTGCTCCATATGGATAGCTCTAGATGACGTATCTAAAGCAACCAGTGTGAAGTATGTGAAGGGCTCTCACAAACAAAAACTACTCCACAAAGTTTCCAGTCTAGGAGGGGATAGTAGAAGTTCGTATGGAGATGGAGGTGGTGAACCGTTGCCAGACATTGATGCATTGCATGAAAATGGTGAATTGGAATTGGTGAATTGGGATTTGAAGCCAGGTAGGCATAAAAGAAAACTATTGGTAAAATTACATATTCAGGCCATCATGAAAAACCAGTATCTCCGAACTTATGATTATGAAGCCCAAAGTCATATGACCAAGCTGTTTTTCCCGATTTGAAATATTCGGAATGGTTCCTGGATTTTTGGGCTCTTAAATCCAGATCTCCCGAGGGACAAAACGCCATTAAGGCAGGATTCATGCCATGATCTTCCGACTATCTACTTTGTAGTCACTTGTTCTTTTGTTCTTTAAGGTGATGTCTTGATCCATCATGGATTTACCATCCATGGTGCACCTGGGAACATCAACTCTACGACAAGACGAAGGGGGTATGTAGTAAGATGGCTTGGAGACGACATGAGGTTCGACCCGAGACCTGGTACAATGTACAAGGCGTGGACTGAAAAGGGTGGATATCACTTAGGACTTGCAGCAGGGGATACGATGAACTGTGATTTATTTCCCTCTGTAAACTTTTAGGTTCTAACTAATAAATATTTCTTTAACAATAACCTTTTTACGTTTACGTTTAGACAGACATTTTTTAGAATTATAGAATAAAAACCGTGAAAGGTTGGTTGGCCTTTATCAAAAAATATTTCATATTTTATCTGACCTTGCTGTGTGTAAAGGAAAGAAGATACCAACCTTGGTGGTGTTCAGTCCACCATAACACGCTTCAACAAAATACTCAAGTGGATGTTATATATAGTATTGAAGTGACAGAAATGGAAAACTGACAAAAACTCCAGTTTAAAACTTTATTGAATATCTAAATTCGTGTTTCCTCAGTTTTAAATGATGACTATAGTTATACGATATAGGTTAAAAGACATTCACCTGTTCACAGAACATTCACCCCTGTTATGCTTCAAATACATTGCATTTAAATATATGATTGTAAATGAATAGCTCTCTTGAGAATATTAATAAACAATAATTTGAATAAAAGTGGAAATCCTTTATGAAAAGCTTTTGAATGTCACTGCCACTGAAATTTATGGAGGTCAAATACAATGGTTGTTCAAAAAGTTTTGCACAGATATATCTAATTATGAAAATAATGAACCAATCTTGTTCATAGTTGGTAGGTATGTGCCCCCATCTTATTCCCTTATACTGTCGATGTTTCATGGATATACGTCTTTTACTTAACATTCTATGGTTGCTATAGTAACCAAGGCGATGGCGCAATGGTCCATATCATTTAGTAATAATATAAAGAACAACATTACTAATCATGCTTTTACTAACATAAACTGTCAACTTAGATTTAAACAATATCTAGTTTTGTTCTCATGGGAAAAATGAATCTTATTTCAATATTTCCCATCTTCTTTTTTTAATCATGCCAAAGAATGACTGTAAATATACTCTTCGAACATCTTGAACAAATCACCTGATTTTTTGCTCATGGTCTTGGAATTTCATATTCATAGATACTATATCTATATCAAATTTCATGTAAAAATGATAAAATCTCTTCTCGAGAAGCTTTCGTGCAAAACTTTTCGAACGACCCTTGTATGTCATCGAAAACTTTTTTTCATAATGTTAGGCGAGGGAACCTTCATAGGGTAAAGAGGGTATAAGAGGAAGTGAATAAAGCACTTTTCAAAACGTATTTTGAATGCCATCGTTGTCCGATAAAACATTCTTCGTCATTCTAGTTTGTCTAAAGTCTTCCCAGAATGAGTGAAATTGATTTATACCACTATATAATAACTTATATACTATATTCTAGTATCACATCAATTCATGAAGAACTTTATAATCTGAACGGTAACCCACAAATAATCAGTTTTGTGATGTAAAGTTGTAAGTCCAAAATCAAGCAACTGCTGGGGCACGACGAGATTCTCACTGTCCCACTTGAACAATGCTTCAAGAACAGCGGGATGGTGGGAGTAGTCAGGGTGACCGCAAAAACATAGAATATGCTTCCCTAAGATGAACCCCTGGTACTGTGTTGAACGACTGGAGCCAATGCTACATGCGGCGTCTGGCAACGACACTAAAGCATCGTTATGGTGGTACAGGAGGCTGAATGTGTCGCGCGTCGTCTTAAAGTACTCCTTAGCTACGTCAGTTAGGGGAACAGTGACTCTGGAAATCTCGCTGCCTTTTGGATTCTTCTCGACGTGTCCTCCAAGAGCTTTCGCAATTATCTGGTGTCCGAATGAAATGCCGACCATTTTTCTATTCTCCGATTGAAGCGTTTTTACGAATGTCAACAATGCATCGATCCAGGGGTCTCCGTCATAAACACCACTGAGTGACCCCGATATGATAAACCCTGCGTAGATGTCCAATTTCTCAGGGTACACTCCCTTCTTGACATCAAACGACTTAATTTTGATTTTCGGCAGCTTCGTATTCTCGTCACCTGGGCTTTCAGTTTTCAGCGTCTCCAAAGGTAGCGAAGTGACGTAATCAAACATGCTTTGTGCCATATCGGGGTATCCCCCAGAGAGGAAGTATACTTGTTCTGGAAGATATTCCTTTAAATCCTCACATTGTAGGTAGCCGATGGTGAGCACATTATCATCCATAGTAACTACAACTGCTCTTGGACAGTTGTTTCCAGTTTGTAAGTTCTAAACGTTATTTCACTAGATGTGTAGTACTGTAAGTACATGTGTAGTGTAGGTTATACGAGATAACATAGAACAGATGTTATTGCGAGGTTGATGGTTTGCAGTCATCACATACTTCAAAATAATACAGTAACACAAGCTTTCGTATCTGTACTTCAGTATGCATGCACCTCGTGTTTTCAAGGTGATTAATAGCCGCGCATTGACTATCATATTGGAGAGTTTAAGCTAGTACATACAATCGAAACGGCAACGTATACGTATAAATTGCCTATATACAAATACACGTTCCTTCCTCACTTAAATAGCCGTTCGGGCTTCAGGGTTTGTTTACACTAACACGAGTATAATGATTCCCAGCGTTGAGACCAACGCGAAATTTGGAATTTCGCGTTCTAAACACGAAACTCTGAAGCTGAACGGGTATCTGAAGAAAACTAATAAGCGCTGGTTTGGTTTTATTTCGCGATAAATTCATTTTGCCAATACTGTATAAGTGGTAATTTGGCCTAATCATTTAACTATTCCCTAATTTTTGCCAGGTTCGGTGAATTAAATGTTGGAAATATTATCTTCATAATGTTATCCAATGGAAAGTTTCTTGTCAGGAAAATTAAAATTAGGAGAATGATAAAATTTGACCATTCAGCAAATTAACCACTCGGATTAGTACCACTTATACAGTATTAAAACCCAATTAAATGGATTGCCAATTTTGTAACTTTGTAATAAAACTTGTATCAACTTGAAGTTAAATGGATTTTAAGTGAAAATTTTCACTGCGCAGAACAACCATTTTCTTATCGAAATGTTAAAAATATAATGTTCTATTTTTTGTCTGCTTTGGGGATTTGTATTCCATGTTTTAAACTGATCCATCATAGCGGACAATCTCCCATAAAGGACAAAAAGTTTCCATTATTTTTTTCGAGTTCGAGTTCTCAATTTTGGTCCCGATTTCGACAGTTGAGGTAAAGCATTGGAGGTCGTTTTGTATACTAGAGGGGATGGGACGGAAATATCTTATAAACTAGGCTAACACATAAATCTCGATTCACAATGTAAATCTATATTTTAATCAACATTTCTCATACAGAGTCACCACAAAACCGTTAGCCTCTAGTTTTTGAATACCTTTTTTTCAATTATGAAGAAATCTTCATGAAAGTGTATAGAACGTGTTCAATCTATAAATTGATTTGAACTTAGTTGTCTAAAAACATAGATGCAATATCTCAATTATCTCCATTGGACACTATCTACAGAAAAAGCCAAAGATTCCATCATATTTGACAAAGTTAGAGAATAACATTTTTGTGGTCACCCTGTAGCTATAACTAATAGAAATAATATACCATAGTAATTTTGCTTGCCAACCAAGAAGGTACATTGAGACCAGCGCCAGATGGGCAGTGACTCTTCTTAGTGCAGGTGTAAAATTTTGGTCCTACTCTCTATGGATTTATATGGTGACCTAATTACAATTATTTTCCTTATTATTTATTCACAGTTAGGGCCAGTAAGAGCTGTAAGGAAAGGGGACCATAATCCCCAGGGGACCATAATTTATTTTACACCGGTTCACAAGCGTGTAACATCTTTAGTTGTTTTTTTCTTTATAACTGCTTATGTAACATGATGACAATTCAAAATTAAACTGAAACCTTGCACAAACAAATATTTTGACTTTTGACGTTTACAAAACCATTGTGTTGGCCTATTCTTATCATGGACTTGTTTTTCTGTCCAAACTTTGATCAATTTTTGTTGTTCATGTTCATTTATTTACCTTGGCAATTTCAGCTGTTGCACACTTATTATTAGAAACAACTAGGAAATAGAATAAAAATGTCCTCTCATGTTAATATAATATATACGTGTGCCATTCTACAGGGGCAATAATATATAAACTTCAAATTGGCCCATAGTCACTAAAATTCTTTATTTTGAAGCCGTGTGGTATCTTTATTTATTGGTTGTTGTTGTTTCACATTTTCTGTCATCTTTGGTACAGCAGGTTCGACAGCATTGTTGTATGTTATGAGTATGTGGCTGTGTGAGATAGGGAGTCGATTCTCTCGACTGTTCGATATCCCATAAGTAATGTAGATAACTAATCCTGAAACCAAATGTTTAGTACATCATTTTTGAGAAACTACTATATTTGGATATATTTGGATATTTATACTAATTAAAAAAATCAATGCGGGGAACGCTGGATGACTATAAACATCAATAAAAATTGATTCGTAATCGTAAACATATTCGACGTCAGCCGACTGTGTGTAGAAGGGTCAACTGCAATATCAGGCTATAAGTGTTTTAATTGAAAATCAAGCAATCGAACCCACAATTTAATCTTCATCAACATGAATTTTTTTTTGATTCGTTCTATTGTCTATTACATTACATTGTGATGTGGATAATTTCACCACTAGCCTGATAAGGGTTTAATGGTACCTAAAGCACTAAATGTCAATAATAGACAATCGATGGTCACTGTCTTACCAATTGTCCCCCATATTCCAAGTCTTATCCATGCCACTGGTGGCATTTGTACCACCAACAAAATGTTGATCAACATACTCAGTGACTCAAGCCACGGAGATAGAGGTACCTAAAAGAAAATATACACATATACAGGTTGGACAAAATAGGATTGTATAACATGGGGTCAATGGAAAAAACACGGAATAAACGTACACGATCAACAGGAGGGTGTTAGTATTGTGTTCGGATACACACGCTTGATTGTGGAGGAGAGGTGTGAAGTGTAGAATGAGGGTTGGATATAGGGTAATAAGAGCTTAAAGCAAGACTACAGGGCAATTTATAATATGTAATTTATAGAAAAATGCACTTACTACAAATGTTTTGAAGCTTGTGTTTTTCTCGTGAGCAGCAACAGTCAATAAGCATAAGATTATTCCCGAGACGAAGAAAATTAGAAATCCGACACTCCACCAATATCCTGCCAAGATTTCACGACTGAAGTAAACGACCATAACAGAAAAGCCTGCCATGAGTGCTGCCATTAAACCAACAGCTAAAGCTGAAAAATTATGTTGATTTTATATTTCACAAGGCATTGACATGCAAAATGTCACCGCCTACCATTTGTTACTGACGCCGAACTCCCACCGCCGTTCGCCAGAACGCCGAACACCGTCCACAAAAATGTTGGAAACTTCTAGTATAACAATATCTCACCACTTGAAGTGGTTACATAACGTTGATTTGTACATTTAAAACCTAATTTCATAAACGCTGCTAAGTTCTGTAATAATTATATCGTCCTTAAAGTGGACATCGCAATGACAACATGTAGATATATAGAAATCCGGAAAACAGATACAAACCGATTAAACAGTTCTCATTTTTTGACATTCCAGATATAAGTATAAACGACTGACGTACACATGGCAGACAATGGGATTATAACATTCTGCAAAATTTGACTATGACAAATTGTGAAATTGAGCAATATTCACTTACAAACAGCATGGCCAGGTTCACAGTCCATGAGAATTGTGAATGGCCATCCATCAAGACCTCGTTTAACTCTTCCTATTCCAGATATAGGATCTGTTATAACGATCCTCTTCTTTTCATCTGGATCCTCGTCATTTGGATCTTCTAGTGTCATCTTCACGGTCATCTTCTCTAAGGGAATGTACCTTGCAACTATTGTGTTTGCTGCTACAAGCGTGAAGACAATAAGTGTTCCGAGAGAGAGTAAATTTGCCAAAAGTTCGATATCAAATATAAACGCTAGTATTGCAGCTATTGTCCCAAATGTTGCAGTGGCCACGATAGGAGTCTGCATCTTAGGATGTGTCGTAGAGAGGAATCGAAAAAGTAATCCATCCGATGCCATGGCATATGTTAACCTAGCTATACCGTACATTCTTCCAATTAAAGCATTCATCATGCTGACCAAAGAAATTGGCGCCAAGATCCACATCATCCACGAGATTCCGCGGGTAATCATTGCGTTCACAAACGGTGATCTTCTGTCGATCATTTCATAAGGCAATATTAAGGTTAGAGCTGTAGATGCTAATGTATGTACAATTACAACAACCGCCATGCTAATAAATGTAGCTTTTGGTAAATTTATATGTGGATCAATGGTTTCTTCTGTTGCAGTCGCCATATTATAAAAGCCACCGTATAACACAAACAGCATTCCGGCTCCTGATAAAACTCCATGAAATCCAAAAGGAAGGAATCCACCATTGTCCTCGTTTACCCAATGTTTCCCTTCGGAGAAAGTTAAGAAAAATCCTATAACAAATACTAGAGCCAAAATGTTGAACCCGACAAAGAAATTATTAAGTAGTTTGAACGATACATTGACAACAAGGCACGCCACGAGAGAGGCAATGATGACTGACACAATAGCAAGGAAATCAGGATAATTCGCTAACCAAGGCATATTAACAACTCCAATGTTCTTTTGAATACCAGTAGCTATTGCACCGCTAGATATAGTGTTAAATGTAGCACTCCAGCCCTTAGCTATAGCTGCTACGGCCAGCAAGTGTTCCATGATCATTACCCAGCCGACCATGAATGCCCAAAGCTCCCCATTCATAACATAAGTATATGTATATGCAGCACCAGCACTAGGGAATCTGGATCCCAATTCGGCATAACAAATCGCCGACAGTAGAGCGGCGAATCCAGCTAATAAATATGCCAGTACGGCCCCGGGTCCAGCAACTTGTGATATGACGACACCAGTCACTGCGTACAGACCTCCACCAACAGAATTTCCTATGCCCATAAACGACAAATCCCAAACATCGAGGCATCGTTTTAATGGCGTAATATCATCAGTTGCAAGTTTAGTTCTATTAAGTTTTTCACACAGTGCTCTGGTGCAGACTTTTGATTTAGGTTTCTCCATCTTGTGTTGTGCTTTATAACACTACCAGCAGCATTCAGAATCACAACCTGAATCAGAGAAGACAATTTTTCATACATATTTTGAATGTTTTGAATAGCTAAAACTAGTTTTCTATCAATTATATATCTATATTTATACTCATGACTGATAGATTGATAAAAAAGTAACTTGTATAAATTAATGGTCATCGGTATTTCACAATCACTGTTCCAAACAGTACTGCCTTTGCGAGACTCTATGTACTTCATTACAGTAGTTTTATTTCATCATGTCAATATAAAACTGTTTGTGTTTATAAAAGATTAGATATGACAAAGAATGGATTAGAGATTACCGAAAACAAGTTGTGAAGCATTTGAAAGGTCACATGTCGAGTACAGTTTCATACAAAATTAACGTAAATATTCATATCCGATCTTAATCAATTGAGTAACAAAATGGATATATAAAAAAAAGCAAGTTAGACACAATAATTTTCTGTTTTGTAAAAATATACACATGGCCCTGTTCAAATAAAACCACCCTGAACTGAATCAGTAGATTTACTTATAAAACAACAAAATGTGAGCTTTAAACTTCACAAATGTAGATTCGCCAAACTGTAAAACGCCTAAAAGTTTAAATTGCAAGCACATATTTTTTAAATTTTGTCTCAACTTAATTTCCTACAATCATATGTTAACGTACTTTATCTATTTAATGCGTTTTGAAATACATCATTTCAGTTTTTTCAAATTGAAAGTGTTGAAGAAGTCATATCGTAAGACTATAGTTTTTATTTTACGACCCTCTACTACTAGATAGTACCTTACCTTCTACTGATACATTACATTCAACATGAACTCTAAAGTATCCAACGTCTTATCGCTGGATATGCTTCTATTCAAAATTGGTCAAAAAGTAATCTTTTCACGATTATGAATACACTTCCTTTGGTCTGTTTTTTTTTTATTCACTTCTATTCATAATCGCTGAAACTAGGCTTTGGATCAATACATACTATTAAGAAGAAAATGTTAACTGCTATTGGTGTCTCTTCACAAGGACACGTTTTAAATTTCCAGCAACATCGATCATCAATTATTGCAATAGTTTCAAATTCAGGTTCGTTTTGCTAAATCTTAACCATCTCGCAATTGTCACTGCCAGGCTTTTAATGGTTTAGTGACCACGATGAATGTATTGTCCAGCTTATGACAAAAACAGCAAAAATACATTTTAAAGGTACTATGTAGCGCACTCTAATATACTCAAACTGCAACCCCCAATTGTGAATGCAAACAGTGAATGCGAATTAAATGTAACTTAAGATTATATGTGAGATTTAAGCTAGTTCAAAATTTTCAAAATAATTCATAATGCATTGATATTGTATTGTAAAATCATATTCGTTCTAGCAGGTGTAGATTGAGAAAAGATTGCTTTTACTTTATTGCGAATAAGTCTCTACCAGCATATTCATTGTAGAACAAACTCAAAGATAGTTATTAACGTTTTCAAACAATATAATACAAACGTGCAGCTGCTGTTGAATAATGATTTGTATTTTATGCTGGATCATTTACGTTTGGGATGCTTGGGGTCACTCTGTTCGTTTTCTGGTAACTTTTTCAAACACTTTTTTCGGTGTTTTCCTGTTAATTTTGAAGGTTAAAAACCTAACTTCTCAATGTCTTCAAGTTTGATAACGAGCCATACCTGTTATTTTCTAGTGTGAGTATAGGGCCAACCTCACTCAAGTTTTGCAGATTTTTTTTTATTTTAATCAGTTTAAATGTGTTTTTCAATCAAACAGTAAATATGAAGTCTTATATGGTTGTTATATTTAATCTCAAACACCTCACACATAATGATATAAGCAAATCTTGGCTACGCCCTTGAGTATTATCTTGGATTACCAAGGAATGGCGTTTTCATACTAGTAATTGAAAATCAAACTGGTGAGGAGTATGCCTGAGTATTACATGGAAATATGATAGCATCAAATCTTTTTGGAGAGAGTCATATCATTTCATTGGTCAGAATCCTATCAATTTCATCAGAAAATCAGTTGTATACAACTGTAAGACTGTCTTTTTAGGTCTTCACTACTACCATACTGTTTTCTTCATAGAACACCTTTTGCACATTGAGAACGCGGCTGACAATGCTATTGCCCAGCCCCCCCCCAAATAAATTGTACAATCAGCTTTACAATATAATACGTTAGCGTCATAAGATAATGTAAATGAGTCAGTCAAAAAGCGGGTCAGTGAATCCACTTATTTTTGAAATTGTAAAAGTGTATTAACTAATATTTAAAAAAAGTTACTTACCGTACTAAGTGTAGCTTATGTTTTATCAATGTATGGCCATCACGATTTTCTTCAGTCAAACATACGAGACTTTGCCGAACTTCATGGTTTCTATTCACCTTATTGATCGACATGCAAAATTTATATACAGTAGGTCACTGCAATGTCTCACCACTCTTGGCTTATAATCCGTTTCTGTAATTCAGTATAACTGAGTTGAAACTTATCAGTTCTGCTCTGTTGAATTTTGGTCGTCCTAATATTTAATCGTCGTGAAGTTACTTATGTGTTGACCACGGGGAACTTCATCTCACATCTAAAATAGATGAAACGCTAGTTAGGTCGCCACATGTACAGACCACTTGCTTGAATATTTAGTTTTATAAAAAATGTCGGCCTATACGCATTTTAAGTGAAGTATTTGATTTATACATGCTTTAAAAGGATTGTGTGAAGCATTCTTAGTTGTATCAATAAAAATCTACCGGAGTTGAAGTAGTGAATACCAAGCAGCGAAGCGATTATGTGTGTATATACACACGTCCGTTGATCGGAAGAAATGAACGGAGGGGGGGGGTAGCTGATTTTCGCTAGAAATCCAACAAATCTGGAAGATTTATTTTTTGCAAGAGCTGCATGAATAAGCGCAGTACACGGGAAATGTTTTAGGTCTTCTGGGATTTTTTTGAACTGATGGACTTCTAAGATACAAGATCTATTAAAAAAGGCGCAGCGAACGTGCAAATGTCAATGTTTTTGCTATAAATCAAGCAACAGTGGTCTGCACGACCTATAATAAATATATATAAGCGACATTTTTATCACGTGTTTCACAAAACCAACGATGACAATACAGGGTGGGCCAAAAAATTTTGCAATTTTTTTAAAAGGCTTGAAAAGGATCATAACATTAAGGTATTGACATAAAAATTCATATACAGAAACTTTAGGATAGGCATATTTTACCATTCAAATATTTAAGCTAATACTGACTTCAATTTTTTTCAACAGATCTTTGAATATCAGTGGTAAATTGTTCATGTGTCCAAGATTTACCATTTTTCCTAGAAAATGTGAATTTCTATGATTTTATATGATTAACAATAACACATTCATTATGTTCTCTAAATCTGCTACAATCTTTCAATTGTTTAACCAATGGCTAGTACAGTTTTATAATAAGCATCTACTATGGTATTATTTTATACTGCATCTATTAATTATTTATTTAAAAAATGTTCCATGCATCCGCCTTTTACCTTCACTATCACACAGACACAAGGGCGTAACTGCAATGGCGCCATCCAGCGATTCTTGTAGTACTTCTTTCCATTTCTCCTAACCTCTTTTAGTTGATCAATAGTGTGTGGGGATTACCATTAACTGCAATAAACTGCTCCAGGTGCCTCCATGTGTGATAGTCCCAGGGGTTGGCATTTGGTGTATTGGGCAGCCATTTATAAGGACTTATAAATCTAGAGGTATCATCCTCCGGGTATTCCAAGGTGACCCTTGCCCGATGGCTGGGAGCAATAGTGAAGTTGAAAGGTGGATGTAAGAACATGTGATTAATAAATAATTAATAGATACAGTATAACATAATACCATTGTGAGTAGATACCGATATAAAGCTGTCCTAGTATATTGAATAAACAGTTATCAGAGATTGTAGCAGATTTAGTGAGCATAATGGATGTGTTATTGTTGATCACATAAAATCATAAAAAGTCACATTTTCTTGGAAAAACAGTAAATCTCGGACACATGCACAATTTACCATCGATATTCAAATATCTGTCAAAAAATTTAGAAGTCAGTATTATCTTAGATATTTGAATCGTAAAATATGCCTATCCTAAACTTTCTGTAAATCGATTTTTATGTCAATACCTTCATGTTATGATACTTTTCTAGCCTTTTAAAAAAGTTGCAAAATTTTTTGGCCCATCCTGTAGTTTTGTGATAATAATTTCACTTACAAGTATTTATTACAAGTCGTATAGACCACTGTTGCTTGATTTATGGCAAAAACATTGGCATTTGCACGTTGGTGACGCTGCGCCTCTTAGATCTTTTATCTTAGAACCCCATCAGTTAAAAAATCCTAGATGACCTAACATATTTCCCCGTGCACTGCGCCTATTCATTTAGCCATTCAATTGTGAACTTTCTCTTGAAAAAATAAATCTTCCAAGATTTGTTGAATTTTCTACCGAAATCAGCTACTCCCCCTCCGTTCATTTCTTCCGATCACCGGGCGTGATACAGCTACTTTATGAATTGGAAATGCATTTATAAACTGTTCATATTGTCACTGTTCTACAACTTGTTACTTCAATGTAACATGGATGATCTTCCGGGATTCGAGTTTTTTGTTTTCTCGATTTAAAATACGTTTCATGTTGCAGATTATCATTTGGCACAAAGTTACTTTTAGAAATGCTCTCGGTTTGGAATTTGATTTTTAAATAAAGCTGCAATTCATGCATCGCTTTTGTTACATTTGACGTAAGTCGTCAAAGTAACCTACATTGGTAATATAACGGACATTCGTCAATGTAACAGAAGCGAGGGGCTAAATATATGGATTGCAACTTCATTTACAAAACAAAATCCAAATCGAAGAAACTTATAAAAACTAGACTTTATTGTCTAGCTTTGTGCCAAATTATGATCTGCAACTTGCTTATAAGTAGGGTTAAATCTAGAAAACAAAAAACTCGTAACCAGGAAGTTCATCCATTTTGTTACATTTACGTTCCGTCAAAGTAACTAGTTGGTGAACAGTGATTGTATTTATATCTGTACATAAAATTTTGACCAGAGGTCATGCAATCATATGATAAGTGGTTTCGTCAAACCGTTAAAACTGCCTTTTTGGCAAAAGATATGTTGTCCTTAGAAAACATAAAAAAGCCTCGCCACAGTGAACATCTTTTGATTGCCAATGATCCCATACTGGATCTGAACGGCTGAGGTTGTCCACGCAAAAGGATGGGGTGGCCAGTGACCGATGACTGTAGTTTCCGTATCATTCAAACACTTCTGTTACTGAGTTTCTTTTTCTGATCAAGTTTTTTATTAATCTTCCGATTCATTTATCATTTTAATCCATATCGTATGTAATGAAATTTCAAGTTTTACCAGTTAACAATTGTATTGAACTTGTTGAACAAAGAATGGTAACCAGCATTCCTCTTTTGACACATAACAAAATTAAACATAAGGGTTTGTGTGGACTTACCAATGTCTGTATTGTATTTACAATTGCGTGTAAAACTAGGTAAAAAGTAGAAAATGAATTTTATTTTGAAATAGACTATTTTATTTAACGTGTTCACAGAAAATGTATTGAAAATATATCAATTGCAAGACATTATAGAAACATGTACTTGCATAGGTTAGTTTCAATCAATCGCTCTATTTACACAACACACATGATGAATAAATTCAGGTGAGTAACCATTGCGATGATTGTCGTTTCCGTTTCATTCACAAAATTATCCAAGCTGGCAGAAAAGCTTACGTACGCTTTTTGAATTTGCTCTCTGTTGATTGGTCAGTTGAATGGTCATTATCTTTGTGCTTATTTTGGAATACGTAATTTAGCATTGAATTATACACTAGGGTTCGATTTTGAACACAACGTTTCAGCTGTATTTGACATTCTTCTTCGCGTATATTTCCCGGTATATTTGCACAATCGAAAAATGTCCTTTTGACAAATTGCAAACATTTTCATGAATATCTTTCTAAACTGACGATTATCATGAAATGCATAACCGTAACATCACTTCCTAGTCTTCATTCCCGGAAGTCGAGACCCGATGTGAATGTGAAACAAGAAGCAAGTTCTCAGGTATTAACATGGGTTGAATTCTATGTTTAATATATTGAATATATGAATTCTATGTTTAATATATATGACTTGCATGAATTGTAAGCGTTGGAACTTGCTATTAGTATGAACAATATGCAGAAACATGGTTTTAAGATTGGGAGATTGTTTTTTTGGTATAAAACGACGGTACGGACCAATGGAAATTTGTCCTACTTGACGCGATGCTTGTGGGACATATTCATGGAAATGACCATTTCGCGCGTCGGATTGAATGCAATTGAATGTTGCATGCGTATTTCAAAATTGAATGCTTCATTTCAGTTGCGACAATCAAAAATAAAAGGTAAATTCCATATAGAGTGATTCCCCAAATATTCGTTTGAAGTTCCAACAATTTGAGATATAGGTGGTTTATAATTTAGGCTACTATATACGATCCCAATTGGCCAAGAGAAAAACAAAAATCAATTCCACCATCTTGGAATATTTTGCTGGGATATTACGATAACTATAGTAACTGTAACGGTTATTCCCCAATCACTGTATATACTAAACCTACAATAAGCAGTTGTATTTTAATATTGAAAAGACGTCGATCAGGTACAAGGAAATACATGAGCAATATTTAGTGAATGCAAACGGATTTATATCTCTTGATCGGATTTAACAACAAACATAGAGAAAACATGTCAATGAAAAACTGCCTGAACGAGAATGTGCCAAAGTTGGTCAAGAAGCTGACCCGAACCAAAACGCTCGATAGTGACGCAATGGACACACCATTAAAACGATCTCTTGGAACATTGGATATCTCTCTAATTGGCATTGGGTCAATGGTCGGGTCGGGTATATTTGTCATGTCGGGGACCGTGGTAAAAAATATTGCTGGACCTGCTGCTGTGGTGTCTTTCCTCATAGCCGGTCTTGCTGCTGTTCTGGCAGCCTTCTGTTATGCTGAATTTGCCTCTCGTGTCTCCAAGACTGGCAGTGCATACACGTATACCTATATTATCATAGGAGAGCTCATGGCCTTCATTATAGGTTGGGATGTACTATTAGAACTTACCATATCATTGGCTGCCCTGGGTAGGGCATTCAGTGGAACACTTGATTCATTATTTGCTGATGCAATAAAGAACGGGACGCAGAATGCAATTGGAAAGATGCAACTTGACTGGCTAAGTTACACCCCCGATTTTGTAGCAGCTCTTGTCGTTTTGATTATAACGGCTGTTGTTGCATTGGGAACCAGTATTTCCACCAAATATAATAAGATATTTTGTTCAGTGAATATACTATGCTTAATCGCTATATTTGGCGTTGCTTTCTATTTTGCTGATTTCGACAACTGGGAGAATAAGGAACATGGTGGGTTTTTGCCGTACGGTGTGTCTGGTGTCATATCAGGCGCATCTGTATTCTTTTACTCATATGTTGGTTTTGAGCAATTGGCATCGGCCGCAGAGGAGGCTATAGACCCTGCCAAGTCCATGCCTAGAGCATGTTGTATTGCAGTAGCAACAGCTATAACACTCTACTGTGTAGGAGGATCTGCTTTGACGTTAATGTTGCCTTTTTACGAAGTGGACCCATCAAGAGCATTTTCAAGTGCTTTTGATACAAAAGGACTTCCATGGCTAGAAAAAGTTATTGCAGTAGTAATATTGATGTTCATAAGTGTAACGTTACTCAATTCTTGCTATGGTTTATCACGCAACGTGTATGCTATGGCCTCCGACGGACTTCTGTTTAAATTTCTTGCCAAGGTTAACCATAGAACGCAGACTCCTATTTTTGCTATTGCTGTGTTTGGTATTTTATCGTCTGTATTGGCCCTTCTATTTGATATACAGTCGTTGGCAGAGCTGGTGTCAATTGGGAGCTTACAAGCATACATTTTTGTCGCAATAAGCATAATAATCATTCGGTATCAACCAATGAATAAATGTCAATTTGAATTAAAACAAGAAGACAAAAGCATAGACGGCGAATCCAAACAAATATCTGCACTCGAATCAACACAATTACTAAGACTCAAGAAACTAGAGGACAGAGGTAATATTGGTCAACTGAAAGAACGTTGGAAAGGATTGTACATTTTAAAAAACACGGAGCCTGGCAAGGCTGTATTGTGTTCAACCATTCTAATGAGTGTCTCCATGTTGAGCGTCAGTGCATTGGTTTTACTAGGAACTGAGTATCTTAGAACAGTACAATGGTGGGCTGTGATGCTATTGGTGATATTTACGACCCTTATTGTCGTCTGCTACTTGATTATCATAGTCCATGAACAAAACACCAGGTTTCTCACATATCAGGTAACATTTCTATTTAAGGTGCCATGGTAGTTAACAGGACTTCTGTTTTGAGTTCTAGTTAACTAGTTCCAGGATCACAATGTACATGGTCAGAATGACCCTAAACATGATGAAATAACTTTTTCAGCCCTCTGAAAATGTGACTGAAAAATAGATAAAAGTAGGAGCTTAGGAAAGGTCACTGAACAGAATATTTTGATTATTTCAGAAAATGTGCCCAATATATTGCTCTAGATGATCCAACTTTTGAAAATTTGATATCATTCGTAGAAAAAGAGAAAAAATGAAAAACTGAATTGAAAAGCGATCTATTTTCCTTTTTATGACGCCATTTTTGTTTCAGACAATTTTCTAAAATTTCAAAGATTGTATCATTAAACCTTATATAAAACCTTATATAAAATAAACTATGCTCCAAATCAATATCGAAATTTTGAACATAGCGACTCTGAGTTTTATGGATCGTGGCCTTTTGAAAATGTTGATAGGTTCTTGGCCTTTTTAGCTCACATGGTGAGCTTTTGCAATCACTCACTTGTCCGTCTGTCTGTCCGTCCGTCCGTCCGTCCGTCTGTCCGTCCGTCAACAATAGTGGCACGTTTTAAAACCTCTGTCGATAGGATTCCTGTTTTAAGTTATTTCTGTTCAACATCAATACAGAAAACCCCCCTATGACTCCTGGTTCAAAAGCTCGCCTATTTTCAAAATGGCCGTCACTTTTGTCTCGCGAAATTCACTTTTAGCCCATTTCCTAGCTAACCTCTGTCGATAGGATTCCTGTTTAAATTTATTTCTGTTCAACACCAATACAGAAAACCCCCCTATGACTCCTGGTTCAAAAGCTCGCCTATTTTCAAAATGGCCGTCACTTTTGTCTCGCGGAATTCACTTTTGGCCCATTTCCTAGCTTTACAAATAATTTCAGGTGTCCTACATTGTAAAAATCCATGTCAATGTAAAGATTAGATATATGAAATAATTTTGTTACAAAAAATCAGGGAAAAATTGTATCCATTTTTTTATTTTCAGCCATTTTAGTTAACATTGATTTGTCTATCTGACTCGCGAAATCCACTTTCTGTCAATAACAGTGGCACGTTTTAAAACCTCTGTCGATAGGATTCCTGTTTTAAGTTATTTCTGTTCAACATGAATTCAGAAAACTCCCCTATGACTCCTGGTTCAAAAGCTCGCCTATTTTCAAAATGGCCGCCATTTTTGTCTCGCGAAATTCACTTTTGACCGATTTCCTAGCTTTACAAATAATTTCAAGTGTCCTACATTGTAGAAATCCATTACAAAGTAAAGAATAGATGTATGAAATAATTTTGCTACGAAAAATCAGCGAAAAATTATATCCATTTATTTATTTTCAGCCATTTTAGTTAACATTGATTTGTCCATCTGTCTCGCAAAATTCACTTTTGGACCATTTACCTTAAACCCTCTGTCGATAGGATTCCCATTTTAAGTTATTTTTGTTCAACATCAATACAAAAAACTCTCCTATGACTCTTGGTTCAAAAGCTTGGCTATTTTCAAAATGGCCGTCACTTTTGTCTCATGAAATTCACTTTTGACCCATTTCCTAGCTTTACAAATAATTTCAGGTGTCCTACATTGTAAAAATCCATGTCTATGTAAAGGGTAGATATATGAAATAATTTTGTTACAAAAAATCAGCGAAAAATTGTATCCATTTTTTATTTTCAGCCATTTTAGTTAACATTGATTTGTCTATCTGACTCGCGAAATCGACTTTCTGTGGCACGTTTTAAAACCTCTGTCGATAGGATTCCTGTTTTAAGTTATTTCTGTTCAACATCAATTCAGAAAACTCCCCTATAACTCCTGGTTCAAAAGCTCGCCTATTTTCAAAATGGCCGCCATTTTTGTCTCGCGAAATTCACTTTTGACCCATTTCCTAGCTTTACAAATAATTTCAAGTGCCCTACATTGTAAAAATCCATGTCAATGTAAAGAGTAGATGTATGAAATAATTTTGTTACGAAAAATCAGCGAAAAATTATATCCATTTATTTATTTTCAGCCATTTTAGTTAACATTGATTTGTCCATCTGTCTCGCAAAATCCACTTTTGGACCATTTACCTTAAACCCTCTGTCGATAGAATTCCCATTTTAAGTTAATTTTGTTCAACATCAATACAAAAACTCTCCTATGACTCTTGGTTCAAAAGCTCGCCTATTTTCAAAATGGTTGCCATTCTTGTTTCGCGAAATTCACTTTTGACCCATTTCCTAGCTTTACAAATAATTTCAGCTGTCCTGCATTGTAAAAAGCCATGTCACTGTAAAACGTAGTTGTATGAAATAATTTTGTTACAAAAATCGGCAAAATATTATATCCGTTTTTTTTTTATTTTCAGCCATTTTAGTTAACATTGATTTGTCCATCTGTCTCGCGAAATCCTCTTTTGGACCATTTGCTTAAAACCTCTGTCGATAGGATTCCAGTTTCAAGTTATTTTTGTTCAACATCAATACAAAAAACTCCCCTATGACTCCTGGTTCAAAAGCTTGCCTGATTTCAAAATGGTCGTCATTTTTGTCTCGCAAAATTCAATTTTGGCCCATTTCCTAGCTTTACAAATAATTTCAGGTGTCTTGCATTGCAAAAAGCCATGTCACTGTAAAGAGTAGATGTATGAAATAATTTTGTTACAAATTATTGGCAAAAAATTATATCAATTTTTTTCAGCCATTTTAATTGACTGAGAGACAGATGGCTTGAAATAATTTTGTAACAAAAAATCAGCAAAAAATTATATCCATTTTTTCTGTCACCATGTGAGCCCAGTACCCATGGTACTAATTTTTAGGGTTTAGACGCGACTCCTACGGTACTAATGTTACCTATGTTTTTCTCTTTTAGATGCCATTGGTCCCCTTTATTCCAGCATGTAGTATACTTATCAACTGTTGCCTGGTTGTAAAGCTAAGGCCATCAACTTGGATTCGTTATTGTATATCTTTAGCAATAGGTAAGGAGCCATTTCAATTGTCACCCAAAACCTTTTATCAGTTGGAAGCTGTAATATATAGAGGTTATTTAATGAGGGATGAAATATGAATTTTATTCCGAGGGAAAATATAATTTGACGATTGACCAGGGTGCCCGAGTGTCGATATGATATTTTCAGATGCCTATATCATATTTTCTCAAGGAAAAAAACATTCCATCACGGCCATCAATAAGCTATTTATTCCATCATATTTTTTCCAAAACTTATTTATTTTAAAGTGTTTTTGTTTTCTTTTTATTTCAAAGAAGAAAAAATATGCAAAAATAAGAAATGCAAAATACAATTACAATACAGTTTCATGGAAAACGTACAGTATGTATTGGTTACACGTTAGTGTTTAAGAATTTTATACCTTTGGCAATTTTTTTTATCTTAAGGAAAAATTATCAGTGTCATTTGTTTAATTTTGCTTCCATGATTTTCCACTTTTGTATGTCATCACACAATGATGGTGACATAAAAAGATACGTTTAATTTATCATGACATTTTAGATTTTTATTAACAAGTTTTAAAATAGAAATATATTAAAGCATACATCTTTTGATTTCAGGACTTATTATATATTTTACCTATGGTATACGCCAGAGCAATGAAAATAGAGCTTTGTCTACAGACAGTCAAATGGTGTCTTACTCTGAACTGTCGAATGAGGCTAACGAGTCGATGAACTCTCAGGACACTAAACCAGAATCGCACACGAGGATTGAGTGATATGGACAGTCCACATTATTACGACAAGCATATGATATTGAAATTATATCATTGAACATGGGGCAAGGGTCGTATCTTAGATGCATCTCAGACGTCCATGGTGGTTTATCCATATAAAAGAAATCATAAAATCAAAAACCGAACAAAACATTTCAAAGGATGAGTCTGGGAATGAGTATGGATATCGACTTAGAAAATATTGAAAATTGTAATGTCTGCAAAACCAACTCAATCACACATATTAATAAACGTCAATATCTTATCCTTCTTCTGAGATTACAAAAATATCAATTTGTATCACAATTGATGAAGCATATCGGCATCAAGGACAGTGCATATCACTTTGTCAGTTCATTGTATAGACATTGAATGGTATTTCTGGATAAGTGAATTGGTGTTTATCTGGGTAATCAAGGGATTATAGTCACTTAAAGTTACTGAGCATCCAATTTTGAGACTTCAATTGTGTTGGTGAAGTTACACATATTTCAGTCAAATTCATGCTGAGCACAAGATTTTGGTTTTAATTTTATAATCTCTATACATGACCCTAGGAATGAAGAGTCAGAATCAGTCAAAAAACCTAAACCAGAAAACTGTGTTCATTGTGAAAACTAAAAGTGAAGCAACTTTTTCTGACATTTCTTATATCAAATGGCAGCCATTTTGTTTCCCCCCTTTAAATTAAACTGGCGGGAAATTCAAAAATTTGAAAACAATTTTAATCCTTAAATATATTTCAAAAATATGATTTTCTTTTTAATTCTTCATGGGTCTTAAGTTATTTCTTCTTTGTATGTCATACATGTTGCCATTGGTGTTTTTTCTATGATTATGACCTTTTTATGCCTTTTTATTTGTTAAGACACTTATTCTGACTCTCAGCAGGGGGTTAATTATGCATCAAAACTCATGAAAAAGTAAATATACTTATCAAATATAACTAGGACAGTAATAAAAACCATATTTCACATACATTTGACTGAAGGACCAAAAAGGCATATTCCAGACACATCCTTTAAATGACACGCAAGTAAACTTCTAAGACTTGGAGATGGGTAATTGAAATATTAAAGCAGTAATTGCATTGCACAAAAATGTTCCAACATATTCTTTAAATTGTACCTATTCATTTGTAAATATGCAATAAAACTACAGTATATATAACCATGTATATGTAACCCCCCCCCTATCACACCAAACTAGTTCTTACCCGTTCTTGCCAGTCCTACGAAAATGTCGTAAAACGGGCTCAATCTGGCTGCGGTCGGGATATATGTCTAAAATAATTAGCTACTTCGTTCATAAACAGTCTTCAATACGTCCATCTCATTCGCAGTTCGTTCAGGTCGCACTACGTCGGTGTGCAACGTAGTAGAAACCGTCCCTTAGTCTAGAAGGTCATCATGACCTGATTACAGAACGGTATGTTCGCCATCGAATTTTGAATCGATTCAAAATTCTAAATCACATACCCCGTCCGGGAAAGTCCATGAAGTTCGTAAACAGACCGTAGAACGTTGTATCTACGTTCATTCAGTTCGCACACAGTTTAAAACCGATTCGGCAACGTTTTACGATCACCAGAAAATTTTGAGCATGCTCTAAGTGCTGGAAAACCTACTCGTTCTAGTAGTTTCATGAAGTTTGTAAACAGATCCCAAACGGTTCTTAGTGGGTTCTTAGTACGTCAAATCCGTTCGTGCACAGTTAAAGCCCGTTTTCGAGAACGTAGTGAGAACTAGTTTGGTGTGATAGTAGGTTAAGATGCAATAATAAAAAAGATGGTTGCAGTTGGAGAAATTGATACTTTGAGAATTAAGATACACGGTTTGGATTCATTCATTACCAACTTTGGTACTTCTCATTCAGACACCCTTTTCAGACTTGTTTAAGAAAACACGAGGTTTAGAAAAATAGCGAGAACAGTCTCTAAACTGAAATGGAATGCATACTAATATTTATATCCGCAAGCATTGAAGAAAAAAGTATCAATTGATGTTTGTGTAATTTGTACCAAAAAGTGCAATGGAGAAAATGACAGGACAAACATCCTCCGAACACAGGGGTCTAGACTTCATTTCACTAGCACTCTGTTCTTCCAACAGAGCGGATAATATCCAGTCCTCTGCGTTTGGAGGATGCAGGACCATCAAAATCAGAAGTTAGTCAGAGCAATATGCTCTTACTGGTTTTTCAATATGCATTTGAAATGTAGCTATTTACATCACAAAAAATATTTTTTCTTCTTTTCACAACCTTTATTTTACTAAACAGGACGTTACGGATCCTGTCTGGATCTTTTTTTCTGGAGATTTCTATCATAGGGTACATAGGGTACTATCACACCAAACTAGTTCTCACTACGTTCTCGAAAACGGGCTTAAACTGCGCACGAACGGATTTGACGTACCAAGAACGTTGCCAAATCGGTTTAAACTGTGTGCGAACTGAATGAACGTAACTACAACGCTCTACGGTCTGTTTACGAACTTCATGGACTTTCCAGGACGGGGAATGTGATTTAGAATTTTGAATCATTCAAAATTCGATGGCGACCATACCGTTCTGTAATCAGGTCATGATGACCTTCTAGACGCGTTATACGACGTTGCACACTGACGTGGTGCGACCTGAACGAACTGCGAATGAGATGGACGTATGGACATATTGTTACATAGCGAGAGAGTTTTCCTTAAAACGCTAGCAATCCAACATCTAATATGCGAAGTTCAAATTTTATAGGCTTATGTCTTGGGAATAGCAGTTCGTTTGAGAAAAAAATTCCAATATGGCTGCTCAATTCAACATAGCCACTTTTTCTTAAAAAATATTTTGTCAAATTTGACTCTTATTTAGACGAAATTTTCAAAATAGCTGCTGAATTTATAATGGTCACTATTTTCAGAAGAAATGCAATTTCTGATGATGCATCTTTTTGACTACAGGGTGTCCCGAAAGTATGCCCCCCTAGGCAGACATACAACAATGTCCCCATAGTATGTATCATATATCATTTTAAAGCTTGTCCAAAGTTACATTGATTTGCCAAGTATCGCGGTTCAACTCACAAATGGGAAAAAGTTACATACATTTCAAATTGTACTATTTTACCAAAATTAAAGTTTAGTTTTACACAAAATTAATAGTTGCCGCGTCTCCCTTGGCCATGTTAACAGTAGCAATTCTTTCCAGATATGACCTTAAATACACTGCAAATAGGGGTATGGCATTTAATAATCCTAATAAAACCTTTTTAAGGCATTTTAGAAGAGTTTCCTGGGAGTATCTGCCCTTACCGACCTCTTTTTACAACTCAATATCCATCCTCTCTTTAATGATATCACCCATATTTTTGGTCACATTCAGGTTAGCGGTGTTTCCAGGATACTGATTTTAACTTTACTTTTGGCCAAACACTAAGTTTTGAAATGTCTCTAACTTTTTCCCATTGTAAATTGAACGATGATACTTGGCAAATCAATGTAACTTTGGATGTTTTTTAAAAAAATGATATATGACACATACTATGGGGACATTGGTGTATGTCTGCCTAGGGGGGGGGATACTTTCGGGACACCCTGTATACTGCCTGTTTCTATCATGTTATGTTCAAAACGAGAGTAATTTGAGAAACTACGTTAAGTTTGGTAGTATTTGCTTCTCTATGGAGTTGCCGTTTTTCTAGAATTATATTGCATAAGTTATTTGCTTTCTGTTAGGCTATGTGTTCTGTGTATGTAATGGCTTAACCTGAAGAATCGGGGAACTAGTTTAAATATGTGTAGTATATGCTGCATACAAACTGGTTCTTGATAAATAGAGAAGTGTGAATATTATAAATAACAAAATGTTAGCTTCAAAAGTATACTTCGTATTTTGCTCTGTCTTTGTTATTTCAATAGTGGCGTTTTTTGTACTTATGGCAGATAGAAAACTGATTAATGAACCTAGCATTTTTAGAAGAGAAAAGGCAAGGAAGCTGAATGAATTGGAATTAAATGTATTAAACTCTGGATTCAAGAAACATACAGTCGAGGAGAGGATGACACCATTTAAAATCTACTCAGAAGCAAACAGAAAACTTGTGTTTTACAACAGAATGCCCAAATGTGGCTCACGCACTATGTTAACTTTATTTCAAAAAAGGAATCATGTTTTTGAATTGACAGAAACAGATATATTCGATGAACGTCAATTGAATGAAAAAGAACTTTATGAATATGTACATTCATTCAAAAAATCATCAAAGAAACAGTTAAGAGAACGTCATCTTCATTTTGTTAATTTTGAAAGGTATGGTTTGAAGCAGCCAATTTATATCAACTTAATTAGAGAACCATTTGAGCAGGCTCTTTCGAGGTATTATTACCACTTTGAGAGAGGATTAGTTAAGAAACAATTAAAAGGGAGAAAAATCCAAACGTTTGAAGAATGTGTTGTGAACAATTTGAATAGCTCTCTACCAATTAAAGGATGCGTTTTCTCTTCAAGAGAATATGTGCTTTGGTTTTGTGGACATGATGAAGCATGTTCCTATATGGATTATGGACTAGCAAAGGCCAAACGAAACATCGAGAAATATTACATGCTGATTGGCCTAACTGAGGAGTATGCTGAAACTTTACAAGCTTTAGAACTTATGCTACCATCTTACTTCAAGGGCATGGGTAAGATCGACACCAATGCTACGAAGAAACACAAAATACCATCTTCAAAAAAGATAAGACCATCTGAAAAAATAATCCAACTTATCAAAATACGATTGGGATACAACTACGAAATATACAATTTTGTGAAACAAAAGTTCCACATCACATTGAAGAGCTTGGGGATATATTATACCAAAAATTCAATTTGAAATAGAATAGAAATAGAAAAAAATCTAAGAAGTTTGGGAACCACAACTCCATGTAACTACGTATACAGTTGATAGTACAGGGTGGTCAAAAACGGCAACCCTAGTTTTTCCTAATATTGGCACACATGTACATCTATCAATTTCATACTAGACTGTGTTATTTCATGAACATTGGACTGATAGTCGCAATGTTACAGCACTTTAAATAAGGTGCCTCAGTTTTCCAAAATTGTGCTGTTGGCAAACCTGCGCACGTTTTCCAAACTTGTCAATGACATAACTGCATTCCTCAGCAAGTATGGCCTGAACGACATATGTGATCTTTATTTTGAGGTCAAATGTTTTTATGGTGTTATTACCCCGCACTCTATCTTTGGGGTATCCCCACTGGTAAAGATTAAATGGGACCATATCTGGGTTATGGGATGCCCATTCATTGTCTGTTGTACTGCTGATAATGTGGTAATTGAAGTGGTCCCAATGCCATTATTTTGCATCATTGGGTGTATGGGCTATGGTTCTGTCTTGTTGGAACCACTGTTGCTGCCTATCAACCCCCCTGGGTTCACCTTAAGTCCCCAAGAACTCCATGAGAATCACAAAAGAGTTTGATGATGACAGTTATTGCATCCGTTGGTATCATCAAAGGTAAAGGGCCCTATCTTCTGAGAACACCCTAAACTGTGCATCTGTCTGTGTGAAGGTGCCTCTCCACTACTTCATCAAGTGCTTGGCTCCCCAAGAATACATAATTGTTAGAGTTTACCAGTGCATCAAGTTTGAAATAGTGTTCATTTGAATAACAGACCAGCTCAGACAGGCCGAATGTGGCCATCTGGGGCATCTTGCTTAAAGTGCAGTAATATTGTGACTATCGATCAGTCAGATGGTCATGAAATATGGTAGGTTGGTAGGAAATTGAATGATTTACAAATCGTCCCATTATTTCCGCATTGTTATGACTCACCTTTTACAGGTTTTGAGATAAGTATACTATCTTTCTAAATTTTTCATGAGTAATTCATTTCTGAGGTCCATTTCAATGGATCTCATCTCCTTTTGGAGATATCCAGTGCCACATTGCAGAGGCGTAGCTAGCCCATTTTGCGAGTGTACGCCCGTATGATTTCCCGGTTTTATCAAAATTAACAAAACGATGGTTCCATAAAATAGGAAGATCCCGGGTGTTCAGAAGATAGGGGACACACTAAACACTCTTAATTCAATGAAGGAAATATTGTTTGATCATTTTGACATAGCTTTTTAAAGGGATTGAATTAACTGTATTAACATATAATATTCGGGAAACAAAATAGACAGATTCTATATAATCATGCCATCGGCGATCGAAGCCGTCTATCAAGGCGATTTTATTTTTTAGGCTACCTAAAACTGTATGTATGAGGCTCATTGTTTTAAGCTTTTGTAGTCTAGTCATTCTCCATGAAATATTATTAATTTTTCTGTGTTTGTTTTTATCTAGCTCACAAGATGATTAACAATAAAAGAACAGTTACACGACCGTCTCAACTCCATTTCGGATCTTAACAATCTGTACGTGATTCTATAGAATACATTCTATCTTTCTGTTTTTTTTGCATTTCCGAACATGCCAATAAGAGTATCAATGTTTATATCCTGTTCCCTATGGATATGTATCATGGCCAAGGAAGAAAGTCTTTCCTCGTTCATTGTGGAACGCAAGTATGACTTAATGCGTTTCAAACTGCTAAAGCTTCAAACTGATTCAAAACAAAGAAAATGAAATAATCGAGAACTTTTTATTTATTAACACGAGTCTTCATAGATCTCCTATCGATTTCTATCTCTTGGTAAAATATTTATTTTTCATCACAATTAATCAGGTAAATTTTATTTTTCCTTAAAATTTGAGAGTACGCCTGGGCGTACTTGGCGTACACGTAGCTACGCCACTGCATTGTTATAAGTGCAAAATGAGGAAAAAGAGTTCAGGCCCACCTTATCATATCTGTTTGGGTAGGCAGCAGAGCCAATCAGATACTTTGCAGGTAGTAATTAACAAAGGAGATCATAAATCATGATACCATACATGTAGTACAAACAAAATTATTTGTAACAAAAAAAGTTCATCCAGTGAACTTAATCAATTACTGACCCTGTTATAGACTTTTTACCCTTGTCATGTACCTTTTACAGATCTGGTGGATTTATACAAAATATTTACAATTTTTCGCACTTATGTTGTGTTGTTATGGCAACCACTTGACAAATCATGAACAAACTTGTCAAAACAACTAATTATAATATATAGATACATAATGAAATATGAATGCGATTGGATGTATGTAACAGAAATTATGGATGATTATCATAGTACCCCATCATAAAAGTAGCCAGGTGTGTATAAATGGCAATAATTCGCAGATGCTGAAAAACTAGACCCTATTATTTTCAAAATCAATGAGAAATGATATACTTCACATAATTAACATAATTAGAAAAATGCAATACTGTAAGCAAAAAGATGGACCAAGCTCATCCATTATATTATTACCTTATCAGTTAAAATGGATCATGAGTCATATTCTTTATAATTAGATGGGCAGAATAATGGTATACGAGACAATAACAAAATGGAAGTGAATAAAAATTCAGTTTTCAGGGTTATTTTGATATTTCAAAAACAAGAAACCATTCATTGCTAATCAGTGATTTTTGCTCTGCAAGGCCTACATATGTACACATGATTACCTATACGGAAAAATAAGTTTTTGAAAATTACTGAACAAAAGTTATGAATACCTAAACGTCAACCTCTTATTTCTCAATATCAGCGAAAATGCAATTGTAACAATGTGGAAATAATGGAACGAAATGTGTAAAATATCAGGGAGTTATTTCTTAGAATGACAAAGATATTAGGAAAAACCAGGGTTGCCGGTTTTTTGACCACCCTGTACTATATAAGCAGATATAAGGAACATTTTGTCTCCAGGAGTTTTAGGATACAAACCCGGGGATACAAATAGCTATATTGAACATACCATCTACATATTGATATACAACCTGAGTGTCGGTACAATTACAAAAAAGAATTTAATAATATTCTGCAAATCATAATTTGTTTTATAATCATTGTATCTGTAAAATCGGTACCTAGGAGTCAGTGAAGTTGCTGATTGTAGCACAAGGTGGCTAACTCTGGTCAGAATACATCACAGGCACACGAAAACTTTCCCAAAATAGAATAACTTCAGATTTAGGAAATTGATTCTAAGTTGGATATACTATTTTTGAATATGTTCAGTCAAATAAATTGCATAAAACACAAGACAAGAAAATAATTGTACGTGTTCGAATGATATTCTAGTATGCACCATTGTAAAAAGACGGGGCTATATACTCCTATAATTATCCAAGTCATTTTTCCATTTATACATAAATATATATTTGATTTGCTTATTATCATCAAAGATATTGAGTAATTTTAAAATTTCAATGGGGAAAATCCAAGGCTTTTTGAGTATTTACTATTCTTTGATTTATTCTTACTTAATATATGGGAATCTTATTTGGGGGCTGCAAATCCTACATCAATCAACCCACTCCATTTGTCCCAAAAAAGGTTTGTACGCCTAGCAACAAAAAGTGACCACAGAGCTCACTCCACCCCACTTTTTGAAATTTTAAAATTACTCAATATCTTTGAAGATACTAAGCAAGTCAAATATATATTTTTGTATAAATGGAAAAATGACTTGGATAATTATAGGAGTATATAGCCCCGTCTTTTTACAATGGTGCACGAGAGAAATCCCTACATACCAGAAATAGAACGACTTATGACCAACCCAAAACTCGAACAAATTATGGCAGATCATCTCTATCCTTTTCAATACCACAGCTTGGGAACAAACTACCAGAAAGTCTTAAAGAAATAAAAAGTATCTATATATTTAAAAAAGAACTAAAAAACTGTTTTTGGGGAACTATTGATTCATTTGATATTTTGTTTTGTTTTTCCTCACTTCTTTTATTACTGGACATAACATATCTTATTGTAATAATCAAACACAGTTCTGATTCTTTTGACTTGATTGATAATTAGACTCGAGTCTATTGCTTTTGCCAGTTTTCTTCTTCTTCTTCTTCCTCTTCCTCCTCCTCCTCCTCCTCCTCCTCCTCCCTCTCCCTCTCCCTCTCCCTCTCCCTCTCCCTCTCCCTCTCCCCCTCCCCCTCCCCCTACCCCTCCCCGGAAATTGGGTCAAATTATTATCTAGGTCAAAGGTCAAGAACTAGGTCAGATCTTGTGTTTTCACTATTTTGCCAGTTTTCTCAGTCGTCCTTCAGTATTTTTGCTCCGTTTTTTTTCATCATGTTCCTTTGAAAAAAAACGCTAATTCCGGAAGGCAAATCGTTTGATTATTCTTACCGATTTTAAGATATGGCGTCCGAAAAGTAGGTCAGAACAGAAAGTTCTCCAAATTCAACATGTGAATTATGAAATAAGTGTAGAATTTTCTGAGGAATCTGAAAACCAAATTTTGATCCGAATACCGGTTCGGAAGTTATGGCGTTTTGAATCGCTAAATTTGTGCCCAATGTTAAGTCAATGGGAAAAAACGATTTGTTTGAAGTGTAATATACGAGATGTAACCTGAGTACAGCTTAATATAATGATTGCCTTTAAGAAGGGGTCTTCAAAAGCCAACTAGCTTCAAAATCTGGACAGCAAAAATCAATGTTTTCTGCATCAACTTTATTATTTTGAGTAATATTCTACAAATATTGAATTCTGTGGAGTTGAATATCTATGTGTATTTCATACCTGAGTGGGTTTGGGGTAGATATCACCCGGGAATATATATCATATCTGAGGAGCGGGCAGGAATATATTGTATATGTCCCGCTCTAGGCCAAATGCGGGCAGATATAATATATCCATCCCGCTCCCTGGAATTTTTCAAAAGTTTAAAAAATTTTAAAATTTAAATTTCAGAAGTTTAAAATTTTTCAAAAAGTTTAAATGTTACAATTCTATTGTATTGAGCTGAAGGAATATTATGAAAATGTTAAATATAAATTGTGCTTTTACAGTATAGGCCTATCTTGTCATTTGAAAAAAGTGGTAAAGGTTATATCTACCCCAAACCCACTCAAGTATGAGATACACCAGTTATGTACGGTCGGTTTTGGATATAGGGTATATCCCTCGGGAAATATTTATATCTCCCTTGGTCCCTTCGGTCCCTCGGGGAGATATAAACATATCCCCCAGGATATACCCTATATCCAAAACCTCCCAGTACATAACTCTTATATATATTTCTGAAGGTGTATTCATCCCTTTAAGAAATATATAGAGATTATCCTATATGAGGTTCAGGATATTGGGATTATCCCGAGGCCAATATAATATATATCTACCCGAGGGCCGTAGGTCCCGAGGGTAGATAGTACTATATTATATTGGCCAAGGGATAATCCAAATATCCTTCATGTCCAGTTTTGTATGCTTGTCCGTAGTCGGATTTTCCTGTTCAAATCTTTGATTATTAACCGGGCATACTGCTCCTTCCCTTATTTAAAGCATCAAACATATCGTGATTGTCTGCGTTTTTCTCCATTGTCGTTTACAGTATGCGAACGTTACAAAAAAGAACCAATACGGGAACAGCGATTATGACGTGGCGGGCAGATATACTATATCTGCCCGCTCGGAGCGGGACGTAAAGCGATATCTGCCCGCTGGTGAAAATATAGGTTTTTACACACCGGGTTTATGTACCCGTAACACGTCCAATGATGGGATAAATAAAGATATTAAACGATCACAGAATTCAGTTTTATTATTTCCTCATTAAAGTAGCACACAGTATTTCACGGTCATTCTTTGGCATTTCCAGAGAAAATAAGATGAGAAGTATTTGTTACGCGGAATATGGCACACATTCGTGGTTGCGCAGATTTGTGATAAGGGTGAATATGCCATACTAACCTGCGGTATATGGCATATTCCGCAGGTGAGTATGCGATATTTCGCAGTGAATATGCAATACATTGATTTCAGTGAATACTCGATAATCACCTGCAGAATGTGTCATACTCACTTGCGGAATATGCGATGGATACAGCAGGTGAATATGACATATTCCGTAGGTGAAAACGTGATACAGAAAGAATTGGTTGGATTGGTTGCGATAATCGACTCTAAATGTAAAACTACGCTGGATTACCAATATTGTTAGTGCGTCGAGTACTAATATAATGAATCCTGGATTGATTGGGTAAGTTTATTACGTGAGATTGGTGAGTGATACTTCTGCTTACGTTAGTTAGTGTGTATGCCATATACCCCAGGTGAATCTGTCATACACCGCTAGTGAATATGCCATATTCGTTGCGGAATATGGCTTATTTTTGTATCGTGTTTACCGCTTTTAACATCAATTTTTCCTAGAGAACAATACTAGATATTGCTTAAATTTAAGTTGATAGTTTATGTAAGTAAATTTCGGCATGTTTAGTGGTATTGTGCTTTATATAATACTTGTTTTCTCTTTAAAATGATATGCACAAACTTACCAAATATGAACAAGTTTGGTTCATTATTTTCATAATTAGATATATTGGTGCATAACTTTTTGAACAGATCTTGTACATACAATAATTATTGTATTATCTTGGTCAACCATTTTGGAGCATTAGCCGTCAATCGCAGAATCTGATATCACATTTTAAACATAATCGGGATCATTCTTTCAAGTTTTTTTTATTTGGCCCGGTCGTCCCCTGATTTTTTATTTTCTATGCTAACCATTTCTTAATAAATATTTATGATAACTGTACACACCAAATATTTTTGCTAGATTGAAAAAACAATTGTACATTATAAGCTGCCCTTTCTGTGGACATTTCATTCTAACGAAAAGTGAAGAAATAGAGAGATGTTATGACAACTAAAATGATCAACACCGGGATAAAACTACCCTTTGCATTCGGTCGACTTCACTTCTTAAAAGAGAGGTTCGTAGTTTTATAACTAGACTCTGCGCAGGGTAGGATAAACCCTCGTATAAATATATAACTAAAATATCGATTAAAAGATGGCATTGCCTTGTATGCGCTATAGCCTACAAATTCAAAGCACTGCGTCTGATGCTAAATCCTTTACTCGATCATCAAATGAAAGATGGCATTGCTGTTGCACCAGGATAGCAAAGTTGTCCTTACGTCTGAAATATCTTGCACGAGTTAACATCAACTTGTATCTTGATTTAAAAAATGGTGATAAAATTCTAATAGATTGTAAGAACCTGAATCTTCGATAAATGTAAATGGTTGTTAATGATTTTGGTATGTAATAATGAAATGGAATCCCACTCCATTTGTATGTTCAAAATAGTTATACTAACAGAGAATTCTTCTTTGTTAGGCTTTGCAATTTTGATTTTCAAGGGTAATAAAATTTGAATTCTATATTTTCTTACACGTCTATACTTATACTTGAATCCGGAACATGTATGAGTTATATTTTGCATTTATCGGAGCATTTATTTCAGTTACCCTCATAAATTGCCACGATTAAAATTTGGCAAAAATATCGTTGTTTGTTGCTAATTATTTAGATGGCACTGTGTATAGACAGTGCATCAGCTGGGGTTTCAAGTGGATTGTAATTGATAGATGATGCGTTTTGGAAGATTTTTGACACCGTTTGGCCAATTATTCATCTGGCTCTTTCCGTCTAGTTGTCAGTGGTTAAGGTGGACCAGCTGAGTTGGCGCTGTTAGCAAATTGTTCCTGGTTGATGATGCCGGTGCTACAACGCGCCCTCAGACGCTACTTAGCACTAACCCGCACAGTTGAATCAGCAGTTTCCTCTCGTTCGTGTGAGTGTCTTTCAAAACACTGTCGTCTTTGATTTGTGAACAACAGATAAAGGGAAGTTTCAAATAAAACTGATCACCGGACAGGTATAATGTTAGAGAAGCTATATACGCATTGAATTCGGGCAAGAAAGTTGAATCAGCTCAAGGTGTTTATATACACAATCAACGGTGCCGTCTTTATAAGTCGGAGTTCTGAACCTCATACCTCAGAAAGTATTGGACATCAATTCATAGAGTAGTGTAATAAAAGCAGCACGTGGACACAGATCATACATTAAGAATTCACGTTCAGGCATCGCCTGATACACATTTGGAACATTGGAATTGGATACATATTAAATTGATGCATTTATACCATAACTTTTTGAGATAATGTTAAAATTACGACCAGTTTAGCATGATGAGGCATATCTTAGCATACTTAACTCTGGTGTTATGGCTCTTCCTTATGGAGTGTGGCTCGGGCTATGCACGCGCCCAGAAGAGACTCAACAGTTACACAACAAATGAGGGGGATGAGTTATCAAATCTAAGCACCAACGAAGCGGTATGTTCACAATGTTATTTATTATCAATTAGGCTTACATGTCCAAGTTGGGTTATTGTGTTATTTGGGGCCAATCTTTATGTCATTCTATTTGTAAACAACATAGATGGTTATCGTGGTATAAAAATCAAATATATCAAAGATAAACATAACATTTTCAACCTACTTCAAACAATTCCCAAAACAAAAGGCTGGATTATGAATACATGCTTTTCGGAGAGGTAGAGGAAATTGCGTTGATCTGGTGAAGGATGTATTTTGAATAAAATTTTCCTGAGTTTGTATCTATTTTCTTCCTAAGTTTAAAAATGTGTTAAATGCGTGTGGATCATTCAAATGAAATATGCCATACCGCAAAGTGATGGTGATTGAACGGTAAATCATAAGTCTATTTTTCACACCTTCTAATGTGGCAATTGAATTTCTGAATGCTAAAGATTCTATAACTTAACTAAATATGATACCAAAGATGCTCTCAACCTTTCAATGCATACAAACAGTCAGTGGTAAATAACACTACATAAAAAACAATCTTGTGCAAAGTTGTTATAATTGATTTGGATAGTTACTTTAAAAGCTAAACTCTCTTCAATAAGTTAAACAGTTCATACTTAATTAATTTTTAAGAAGGAATCCAGAATACGCGATGCTGATAAATATCTCAATTAAGAGTGCATACAATCAGGTTAATTCATTTTATACACTATAAAAGATAATAATGTCCCCGTGAATGTTCATCCTTCAAGATCGGTCCTTCACTGCTTTCATAGCAGATCAAGCAATGTAATCAATGTAATGCAATGCATTACTCTTGGGCCAATGATGCTGAATGTTGTCCTAGTTTGTGTTTTATATTTAAACTGTCCCTTGATTGATAATCAAATGAATAAAAAGACAATAATCGCACTTACACTTGGGGATGGAATATATCTCTCGTAATAATTAAATCTTTCGCAGCTAATACACATCTTATCTTTACTATTTATTCACAATCGGGGCTAGCAAGGATCATAATCTAGGGATCCCCGGGTAGGGATCATAGTTTCTGTCACATCGGACCGAGCAAGTAAATAAAACGCTGTATCTTCACCACAACGTCCGATACTTTTGAAATGTGTTTTATTCCATCTAATTGGAACTATAACTAACATTTGGCAAAACATCCTTTCCTTCTATAGTATATGACCATTATTCAAAGCATACCCATCATTGCAAAGTGTGGGTACGTTTACGAAATCAAGTAAAATCAAATCTGCTTTGAGTTTTTATGTGTTATTTTCTTTCATTACACACAAACACAATCTGAAAGTCTTGACACTTTCTTTATTGACAATTGAAGCTATCCGTTACCTATCCATTGTAAAGCAACGCGTATGACCGTGCATTATAGCACTTCATTCACACGTCTCAAATGATCCTGCTTTCATCGTATGATATATAGGGAAATTTTATTAGCGTAACGCTACAAAACGAAATGTTATCATACAGGGGCGGACCTGGAAACTGACAAGGGGGACAAAATATTTTACTTTTGAAATCCCCTTTCTGGAGAACTTGAACTTAAAGGAACATTTTTAAAATAAAAACTGTAACCTATATCACACAGGCATCACTTTTGAAAATGAGGCTAAAACTCTAGTCTCAGGATAAAACGTCACCCACGTCCTCCAGTTTCATATGTTATTGTAGTTTTCACAAATGGATTGCAAGAAAGGCTTAAATCGAGTTCTGAATGATTCCTTCGAAATTTCAGGTTAATGAGGAAGTGACTAAAACAGCTGAATGTTAACTTTGAATAAAGAAAGTATAAATGCTCTCGAGTTTCTGAAACATTCTGACTAATCTAGTATTTCGTATGACTGAAATGAATTACTTTGGTAGACCAGTATGTTGTTGAAGCCCATACCAAAATGACTGAGACTCGAAAGAAACTAACTGCTACTATAAATCAAGACGGACCTAATGGCCCTAACGAAGTATCCAGTTTCTCTAATTCTCAGATTGATTCCTTCTTCAATCTTGCTCATAAATGCCTTTCAACATCATTTATGTATTTGTTCAACATAAAATTGAGAACTTGGCTGGATGTTAATGAAACATCAGGCTTTTTATACCCCTGACCATATGTTAGTTTTACAGGAATTAATTATGAAATTCGCCTTCTTCTCCCGCGATCGTAAATTAAAGACGGATACCCAAGTGGAGGAATGTGTTATGGTAAAAATCTGGTATCAATCGACTGGCAGTATTCTCTAAGGTGATATACAGAACCCCCAAAAGTTAAACTGTATGTTCTAGGTATTATATTCATCGTTTCATATTTTTAATACCCACGATCTGAGTTCAAATTCAATTCGATCTATTCTGTAAAAGAAATACGTAGATTGAAAATATCGGTCTAGCTGGGAAAATTGAATTTTCTTGGAAATCTGGGTAGAGATCGTGATGCTCCTCCAATGTGTTTATTTTTGTTTAGCTGCAATTAATTGGGCTTATCCAGTAATTAGTAGTATCGCAACAAGCTATCACTGCAGTAAGGAAGATCCAAATATTACGTAGCTTAGCCTGGTATCGAGACTCCGTCTTTACATTAGTCTTGCTTTAAGATCCTGGGCCCCTCATCTTCTTCAACAACAACTTGTGGGATTGGGAAGGTGTCTTTGTACAGTGAGGGAGGGCTCGCAAGGGTTTGTAGCTAGACTATCTTTACATTGATTTTATAGTATAATATGTTTCGCCAATGATATCAATAATAAAAAACAATAAACTGGCCAAGGACAAATGACCAATGACATCATCTCAGGAGTGAGATGTGAATGCTCTTTTTGTCCGTCTGTCCGTCAGCCTGCATATTTTGTTTATCTGTCCGTTTGTTTGTTTGTCTGTTCTGTGTTTGGCTGTTTATTTGTTTTTCGTTTGATGAGGTTTTTTGAGGAGATAATTTAGGATAAACCTGTCACTGTTACTTTATTGTTTGCCATGAAACGAATATTTTGTAACAATACATCAAAATAAAACGGGGAAATAACGAGTGGCAAACAACAAATCGATCTTTCAAGAACTCAACTGGTCGAACTAAAACTACTATAAAAGATGAAGAAGTGGAGCCATAGGATTTGGTTATGAACAACTTCCATTTGCTTCTGGATCAAATAGTGAACAAATTCGGCTTATTAGTCATTTCCACATTTGGGACAACAATACAGACACTATTAATATCGCATCAATACAAAATATCAATAAAATCTCAGACAATAATCTTTTCTTCATCCTCGTTTCATTTCTTAACACCGGTGCCACATGCGTTTTTGAAATAATCATCGAATTTAGAGATTGCATGTGAATCAATAAATTGTTCACCGGTGTGCAACTTCATGCTGATGCCTAGGGACACAGTTGTGTGCTCTGTTCAAGAATTTTTCAAGATGGCGGCTGAATTTCAAAATGACCACCATTTTTTCGTTAAAAACGAGATATGTGATAACTCAGGTATAATGAGGAATTACAATATCTCTGCTCTCTGTATTCTAGGGCTCCCAGGCCTTCCCGGATATATGGATCACGTGGAAAAGAACTTCAATGAATTATTAGATCGTATCTGGCTGTGAGATATCACCGATATTTGTGTACACCAAAATTTGGTTTTAAACGACAAACGATCTTCCTGCTTTCTTTGGTTTCTTTTATTTGTTCACCATGATTAATCCCCAACTAAAGGTCTCTCCCACACACAGAACAGGAGAACATATAATGAAGTGACATTTCCCGTATTGATACTGCCCTGTATTTATCACTATATTTGTAAATATAACGATAGATCATATTATAGATAGGAATCCGCAATTCATTTGTTTTTAACCCAGTTACAGTACACTCTGGAGTTAACCTGACAGATGCCGATTTTTGTGTCGTAACTTCGCGCGCAATTGCGAGGCATTGCCGCATTAGTTCAATAGCTTTAATAAGTAATATATAATACTCGGTCATTTGTCAAATCATCAAAGAAGTTTGATTATACAACGTTGACTTCAGAAAAGAAGGAAATGCTATGGAATAATAATAACAGTGTATTTATTTTCGGCCAGTGCAATCTCATCAAAGTAATAGAACCGGAAATGGGTGGCAACATTCTCCTGAAAATATCAGACGTCACGCTGAATGTCAATTATTCGGGCCATTAGCTTTTTGTTCCCTATCATTATATCAATTGTATGGTTACAATAGTCTATGAAAACCTTCATTGAAATAATTGAAATACTCATAACCAAAGGATATAATGAGGGGTATAGGGGGTTAAATCAATCCATTTAGTTCACAATTTTGTTTATTCATCAAATGTAAACACTGTTATTGGAAACAAACAAGATGTGCCAAAAAGGAATTCATTGATATATAACAGCATTCTCAACAAGTTCGTAATTATTTCCTTCTATATTTGGCTAACGATTATTGATTGCATTGACTGCTTGTTTGTATGTACAGTGGGAATTTGTGCGGAATTGTGACAAGTTTCTTAAGGTAGAAGCAACTGCATTCTTCAGGACGGAGAACATCAGTCGAGCAAACACTTCGATTATACGCGAATATGTATCGGAATTCCAACAAAATGCCAGACTCACCGCAGAGTGTTTGCCCTTGTAAGACAACACGCTTTCATCCATTCACAATTCACACGACTCTGATTTTAAACAAATCAGTTCACATAAAGTAGCATACTACAACCAATATGATTGTATCAATATTCCGAACATGATACCAGCTCGTAGTAAATCCATTTTTGGAAATAACATAACGTCATCATTATGTAAACCTTTGACGTTGACGTTTTATATTGGTTCAATGAGTACATATGATTTAGAGCATTGCGTTGATGGTGTTGATTTTGTTCTCAAATGTTGCGCTTTGTTCAGTGGAATAATATTTTGCAACCAAACACTGATTTCTACAAGATGAATAGTTTGAACGTTTGAATATTACATAAGAGGCATAAGAATTATTAA